CTCTTGGTTAAAACAAAAATCGCTGATGCTTTCCTTGAACGCAAATGAATACTATAATGAACGTAAAAAAATAATTGCAATCAGCTGCTGATCAGCAAGCACACTAGGCACTATTATTTCTGCTGACTATAACTTAATTCATGCTAAATGCCCGTTAGAAAATTAAATTAAATATTTTTCCTATAAACACCCATGTAATTAGTTGAAGCTTAGTGGTAATGTTTTCACAAGATATGGCATAAAAAAGAAATATATAAATGTGTAGTGGATCAAGGAACCTGGGGGGAACGTAGGTGAGGCAACACAATATTTATTTACTACACTGAGTACAAGGTCCCTAACACAAAGGGGTAACGGGCCCTTCCACCCGATACCTAAGGAGGTATGGCCTCCGGGCGACACTGCCTCCTAACACTGGGACCACGCTAGCTCTGAGCCCTCCAGCTAGGGGCCCTAGGGGAGGCCACGCTGACCCGACCGTCCCAAGGTCTACGGGTCTTCACCGCTGGCCTCACTGAGCTCCGGCCCTTAGAAGGAGCTTGGGGTCCCGGGTCCTAACTTCAGCTCCGTCTTCGGTCTTTGGCTTGGAGATGACTGAGCCGGACTCTTGAGAGGTTCGGCTTATATACAGGTCCGTGGCTTGCTCCGCCCTAGCCACGCCTTCTGGAAGGTGACATCATCACCCAATCCCCCCTCCCGGGATTTGGGGATTTGTGTCCCAGGATCCGTTTTCCCAGGGATTGGCGTTGGCCCCTTGGGCCATGATCCTTGACACTGGCGTGACCCCACTTCCGCCCCCTCTTGACCCCGCTTCTGCCCCCTCTTGACCCCGCTTCCGCCCCCTGTTGACGAGAAGGGGGAGCAACCCGCTAACAGCATGGGGAGTGCCGATTAATACCCCTACAAATGCATAGACTTTGCCAAATTCCTGGGGGGAAATTAGTTCCTGTTCTTTCAAAGAAGTCATGCATATTTGTTGATTTGTTAACTTTTAGTTTACGATTGGTCTTTAAACAACTATTAAGAGCGGCTTTGAATTTTGTTATGACCCTACTTTGTAAATATTCTTTGAACAATTAGTTTGCAAAATGAACGATCTTTCGGAATGAACTCTAATAAGAATGCCAATTCTAGTCTCCTTACGAGTACTCTCGACTCTATAGTTATGAAACACCTAAGCCAGCTTCTGGAAACCGCATCGCTTGCGTGCATGCCATCAAAAACAAGTGGAGCCCTTTCTGTTAACCCACTGGTGGATGAGTCTCCCCATGACGATCATGGGGTTAAATGATCACACTTCACTGCGCTGGTCAGTGCGGGTTGGTGAAGGCCAGAAGCACAGTTAGATGTGGAGCTTATAAATACAGAACAATGGATGTTGCAGCACTGCCCACTATTGTGCAATTGTGTTGCCCCACAGCTACCTACAGTGAGGGAAAAAAAGTATTTGATCCCCTGCTGATTTTGTACGTTTGCCCACTGACAAAGAAATGATCAGTCCATAATTTTAATGGTAGGTTTATTTGAACAGTGAGAGACAGAAAAACAACAGAAACACCTTGAAAAACGCATGTCAAAAATGTTATAAATTGATTTGCATTTTAATTAGGGAAAATAGTATTTGACCCCTCTGCAAAACATGACTTAGTACTTGGTGGCAAAACCCTTGTTGGCAATCACAGAGGTCATACGTTTCTTGTAGTTGGCCACCAGGTTTGCACACATCTCAGGAGGGATTTTGTCCCACTCCTCTTTGCAGATCTTCTCCAAGTGATTAAGGTTTCGAGGCTGACGTTTGGCAACTCGAACCTTCAGCTGCCTCCACTGATTTTCTATGGGATTAAGGTCTGAAGTCTGGCTAGGCCACTCCAGAACCTTAATGTGCTTCTTCTTAAACCACTCCTTTGTTGCCTTGGCCGTGTGTTTTGGGTCATTGTCATGCTGGAATACCCATCCACGACCCATTTTCGATGCCCTGGCTGAGGAAAGGAGGTTCTCACCCAAGATTTGACGGTACATGGCCCCGTCCATTGTCCCTTTGATGTGGTGAAGTTGTCCTGTCCCCTTAGCAGAAAAACACCCCCAAAGCAAAATGTTTCCACCTCCATGTGTGATGGTGGGGATGGTGTTCTTGGGGTCATAGGCAGCATTCCTCCTCCTCCAAATACGGCGAGTTGAGTTGATGCCAAAGAGCTCCATTTTGGTCTCATCTGACCACAACACTTTCACCCAATTGTCCTCTGAATCATTCAGATGTTCATTGGAAAACTTCAGACGGGCATGTATATGTGCTTTCTTGAGCAGGGGGACCTTGCGGGCGCTGCAGGATTTCAGTCCTTCACGGCGTAGTGTGTTACCAATTGTTTTCTTGGTGACTTTGGTCCCAGCTGCCTTGAGATCATTGACAAGATCCTCCCGTGTAGTTCTGGGCTGATTCCTCACCGTTCTCATGATCATTGCAACTCCACGCGGTGAGATCTTGCATGGAGCACCAGGCCGAGGGAGATTGACAGTTCTTTTGTGTTTCTTCCATTTGCGAATAATCGCACCAACTGTTGTCACCTTCTCACCAAGCTGCTTGGCAATGGTCTTGTAGCCCATTCCAGCCTTGTGTAGGTCTACAATCTTGTCCCTGACATCCTTGGAGAGCTCTTTGGTCTTGGTCATGGTGGAGAGTTTGGAATCTGATTGATTGCTTCTGTGGACAGGTGCCTTTTATACAGGCAACAAGCTGAGATTAGGAGCACTCCCTTTAAGAGTGTGCTCCTAATCTCAGCTCGTTACCTGTATAAAAGACACCTTGGAACCAGAAATCTTTCTGATTGAGAGGGGGTCAAATAGTTATTTTCCTCATTAAAATGCAAATCAATTTATAACATTTTTGACATGCACTTTTCTGGGTGTTTTTGTTGTTATTCTGTCTCTCACTGTTCAAATAAACCTACCATTAAAATTATAGACTGATCATTTCTTTGTCAGTGGGCAAATGTACAAAATCAGCAGGGGATCAAATACTTTTTTCCCTGACTGTATATATGCCTGAATGAACGAATTCAAATGTTGTGAGTGTCACTTTGCCATGTTTAACATGTGGAGGTGAGGGCACCCATTACAGCCACTGGCTGTGCCCATGCGCTGGGCTTTAAATAATCCAAGCAATAGTCCAGGCTCAACTCTCCTTAGCTTATGATATCTGACAAGATTGGCAGCATTCTGAGTGAAAAGCCCATAGGCCACCAAGCCATCACTCCTTCCAAATATCTTTTGAAGTCCCTCCTCTCATCTCTCATTCGTTCGACTCCAGACACACAAAAGTCTCCACTCGCATGCCCGTACCTCCCCTTAGTGTGGTATGTGCACCCAAAGGCGCTGACCCAATGTCCTTCCTCTAGATCACCCCCCACTCAATTTGCAATGTCTCCTCTCACCCCTGACCATCTGGCATGTCTATGCACGCACCCCTTTTAAACAATGACCCATACTCTTAACCAGCCTCAACCTTTTCACGCTTACCCTCCCTATCAAGCCGATGTCTCCAGAGAGCAGGTGGATATGGCTTCTCTCAAATTTACAGAGAAGATGGGATTGTGAAGCAGGCATGCGCAAAGAAAATTACTGCATATTTTTTTAAAGAATAAAAAAATCAGGACAAAGCATTTAAGTACCGCGTTATTTTCTTACGCATTGTGCAAAATAATTGTTTTTGCACCTGTGCAGGGGGAAAAGGAAACTTTCCATCTGTTGCACTGCCGATTTTAAATGCATTTTGCATTTTCCTTGGTGGGAAAAAAATCCTCTGCCATTAGAATACACATATGTTGATTGGCATTCAAAAACAGATATTGCATGGATCTGGTTTACAATCACATTATTGTAATTCGCACATGTTTTCACGTGGAAACTGGGGGCCCTGTATGGTTTTTTTGGAATAGCATCCAACAGCACTGGCAATAATGTTTATATTTTTTTTTTTGGGGGGGGGTTACCGCTGAATGTGCACGAGTGTCGTTGCAAATAATAATTAATTGCATGCAATTTTAAATAACTGGAAGCTTGTTGTAAATGTTGAATTATGCTTAGAATATGCACATGGAATTGGGTACTAACGTATGGGTTACTGGAGATGCATACCTAATGCATTTGTAACTATAGAGACAGTTTATTGTGTGTCTTCCAGGATATCTCCATAATACGCATTGGCCCTTTTAGATAATAATTGAAAAGAAGAAATGGGTTTTAATTCTTCGCTTAAAGCCTATATATATCATTATGCAACATTGCTATTCAACTGGGTTTGATTATAATCCACTCTTGACTGCACATACTTTCGTACAGTGTAACAAACGAATATAAATATGAATTGAGATTGTTTCAGTGCCTCTGCTTCGATGAAATTGGGGAATAATCTAATTAGCCATTCCAGTTACTGTATTATGTTGGAAAAACATTACAGAAAATAAAATAAATAATATGTATCTCACTCTTTGAAATCCTTAACTGACTGAAAATGCTCCTGAGTTCATTGTGAATATGTCCTTCTGGTAAAATAATTATAAATGTTATTGGATAGAATTACAGATGATCCAATGCTTCCTAAGATAAGATAAGGAATTTAACATTGCGTCAAAAGTGTTGTCACAATTTAAAAGTGTGTGTTTCAGAGGGTTCGACCCATTTGCTGTAAATTAACCGAAATATTGTTTTTGTTAAATGTCAGCAGAGCTTTTGCCGACCAAAAATTCTGAGCACAGCTTCCGTCTGATCTAAACATGAGCATCCTCCACATTCCAGTGAGAAGTATTCGGAAAGCTCCTTTGAGAGCGTATTCGACTGCGAGCTGCTTCGAGCAGATTCACCAACACTTTTTCATTGCATTTGGCGGTGCGTTCGTCGTGAAATCGGAATTGTGGATTCCGCCTCAGCGTATCTCCGCATATTCAAGGAGGCGATGCTCGGACCTGAGTCCGACAGGTCGTCGGAGAAAGGGGGCATGAACCCACCTGGGCAGAGGGCGCTGAGCCCACTTGGCGGCCACTGCCCGTGACGTTGGCCCTCTTCTTGGCCTTTTCTCGTGCCGCCTTCTCCAGGCCTGGGTCCAACCCCACGAGCGAGAAAACCTGCGTCTTGAAGTGGTCGTGGTTTCCGTAGTACAGAGAGGAACTGTAGGCGATCACCTTCACCCCTGCAATCTCTTCGCACTGCGGCAAAATTACAGAACGCATCACTTTTAATTACAACTCGCACAGAAATGTCATTGCGGGCAATTGCGTTTCAATAGCTTCCTTCCCACTAATACACAACACATGACGAAGCACCTAATAAAATCCATAACTCTGCGAATCCTCTTGCATATAAATGAGATCACTCTGAAATTCATATTGCTAGGAATTGCATGCACTGATCACGCTCTACAAATGGTTAGTCCACAGAAAAATCCAATCAAAAGCTTTGCCCTCACATGGGTGATTCAGTAAAGTTTACCTCTCTCTTGCCTCTCTTGCTCATCATCACTCTGCAGCCTCCCTAGCCCTCCTCCACTGGTTCTTCCATGGCCGTTGCTCTTCTGCATTCCCTCCCATTATACCACTCACCCACCAATCTGCTCATTCCGTTCGACTTCATCTCTCCGTATGAATGTGTCCTTGCCAACCTTCCACATGAACTGCCTCCTTCAAACTCCGTGCTATTAAACTTTGGAACGCATTACCCTCATCTGTCTTCCCGCCTCATTACAACCTGGAAGCATTTTACTGTCAATCGCTTGCCGCTCACGGATGCGCATTGCTGATATGTATTGAAGTTGCTAACAAATGGTTACATTCAATATAGAAAAAACAACAACATCGCCATCCAGGGGCATTTGAAACTATTTTTTGTACATGGGGAAAATATATCGTGGATTACAGGAAGAACACATCGACAACACGTAAACAAACTTTATACAGCCCACGTGAGAACTTTCTCTTCAGCGCAACTCACAACCTGCTGTCTACACCGAGGAGCAGGACAGTCACTGCCAGGCACCTGCTTCTCCATGGCAGCTCCCTCGACCATTTGGAACGCCATCCCATCGTGCATTAGCGGCGTTAAATCTGCACTGACTTTTAAGAGACGCTTAAAGGGCCCACACCTCTATCGCTTGGCTTTTGAGTGACACTGAGCTTGGCTCTGCACATCAGTCACGGTCATTCATGTCCCTGAAATATCGTGCGCATTATAAATCGCACTTATCATTCGTAATCAAATTTGCTGGGTTAGATCGCGTAAATGTAAATGTCGGATACCCACCTCCATCCGACACAGCCAATTAGTAAAGTTTGTCACGTGAGCAAAACATGCGAATTAGTTTCTACTTCAGTAGAACGGTGTATTGGACAGAAAAAACCCAGAACATTTACAATTCGAGTACGATGTTTCGCCGATGATTACAACATTGGTCGCTAAAGCCTCCGTATTAAATTGACGAGCACCTATCGTCATCACTAAATGATCGTCCGTGAGCCAGAGTTTTAGTCCCAATTCATCTAATTGGCAAATAATTGGCCGTTGTTTGAAAACCCACTAATTTCCAGTGGCTATCACACTGTTGGTTGCCAGATCAAAAAATTGGAACTGCTAAGGTTTATGCCACCTCAGGTGGTACCGACGAGGGAGAAGACTGGTCCGGGCTAACGGACTACGTGTAGCGATGCATGAATGGGCTAGGTGGTTAGCTGGCATGGTGGTCAGCGCCTACCACCTTGTTACATTTTAATTTCCGCAGCTGTTTGCACCCCCCCCTCCAGGGAAGGGTGCCACTTGTAACAGAGTAAACGGTAAAAACCACGTGACATTACTCCTACAAAAAAAGGATGTGTTCCAATTTCAATGACGGCTTTAGAAAAATATCCATGAACGTGTTTAACAAAAATATAATAACTGTCACTCGCTTGTTTACCCAGGTCTCCCATATGAAGTGAGGTGTGTCAATGACCTCTCACCTGTTTAGATAAAAGATATGTAATTAAATCATCATGCGCTGTGTATAGCTTTTTTCCAATATGCTGCTGTTCAAAAGTGTAGAGGTGTTAACTACGCACTGTTCGGTAACCTGCATCGCCACTAGGTATCAAAGGGGCAGTGCAGCGCTACCTCTGTGTACATAACGGTTGGGGTCAGACGAGGTGAAGTGGATTGTAGCCACAGTTTGGAGAAAACCAATCAGACAGTTCCACGTGGAAATGTGGGATTGGTTATACCTGGCCACAACGAGTATAAGAAGGGTGACCGCGTAGAGCTCGGGGAGTTCTCTCCCTACACGAAGACCGAAGCCCGGGCTGAAGACTAGCTAGAACCCTGGACCCAGCCTTCCAGCCCTTCTGAGGGCTAAGGCTCGGCGTATCCAGTGGTCAGGACCCACCGGGCCAGCGGTGGGTCAGATAGCCTCCCCTAGGTTCCAGCCGGAGGACTCTGGGATAGGGTAGCGGTAGACGTGCAAGTCCTGCCAGGATAGGAGGCTGTACCAAGGAGGCCTGTGTGTAGGTTACGCTGAGTCCGGAGGCTGTACCTCCTTAGGGTATCGGGTGAGGGGACCGTATACTCCTCTATGTGTTAAGGACTGTGTGGGAAAGGAATTACAATAAACAGAGTGTGCCTCATAAGAAGTTTATTCCTCTTTATAAACACTACAAAAGCATCAACATTAATCAGCATCAGGGGCCCAGCAGGGTCGTGTGCCTGTGTTAAGTGCCATTATGGAGACATAGAGTGGAAGGCTGAAAGAGACTCCCAATCCATCCAATACTTTGCCTTGGTCTGTTCATGTAAAAGCAAGCGAAATGGAAGTTTGAGTTGGCTGCTCATGGAATTATCTGAGCCAGCAGATGTTTTAATCACAGCATTACAGTATCGAGAGAGTAAACTAAGTGTGCAGCTGGTTATGTATGAAGGCAGAATTTTTGTTCCACTTATTTAGCTTAGCCCCAGCAGGCAGACTGCAAGTTTACTCAGTTAAGTAACAGCTGTTGCTTTCAGAGCCCTTGTTTGCACAACAGCAGAGTTCACACTCAAGCACAATTTTTGTTCATTCGTTGCCGCCTCATTTATGTTTTCATGAAAATATATCATGGTAATATGATACCGTGACATGTGTATTTTAACATTTAGCGTTGTCTTCGTCTAATTTTGGTTGATATCTTGAGTGAGTCAGATAAGGTGTCTCGGTTGGCTAGGTATGGTACGAAAGAAGTTCAACATACTTACATGCATCTCTTGCCAGTTAAATATATATTCATTCGGTTGATCGGTTTAATTTAAGAATTATCATCTCAAACCCCCATATTTATCCTTAAAATGAAAGTCACCAAGCAGAAAACCGTTTAATGTCAGCCTTGAGGATATATTTTGAATGAAGAAGGCACTATCACCCAAATCCTTCACATCACATTAATTAAAACATCGCATATGATGTTCATTCTAAATGTGCACACGTCTGTTACTAAGCAGTGAGAATTTCTATTATAATACACTTGTGATGTCTTAATGCCACTTAATAGAATTGAACACTAATTGGTTAACATTTGCCCCCTATAATTATGACATTCAATTACTTGATTTTTTTCGCAGAGACCAAAAAAACGATTGCTTTTTGTTAAACCGACTCGTAATAATCAGCATATTGAATGCATTACGATTAATGATGAATATTGAAAACTTACATTTGGCCGTAATAGAACACATCCCCATTGGAATGGACACATCATTAACATACACCATATTATTAGATCGTATTTTTGGCATATATGTTCAGTGGCTTTCAATAGTATGCACGATACTCTAACAGAGGACCTATATAACAGAGCTATATTAACATATGTTGAACTGTATTATCCTTTAACAACTATACAATGCACATAGTCAGTACAATGAGAAACAGCTCTGTGGGCCTAACCTCCACATCAGAGTTTAGACCAGTGGTTCTTAAACCTTTACTACAACCTTGCAGCACCCATTTGGTTCTCAATCGTAAAAAAATATATATAATGTTAATGAATATGTAGTGAGTTCAACTGAGTCGCAGACACACTTCTTGGAGGCAACACATTTATGAACACCAACACACGGGGTAACAACCTATGACGGTGGACCACCAGGCTAACTACACTAATTACAAAGTAACTAGCGACAATGGACCGGACCACAGCTTGGGTCCAGGTCCACGTGTTGGTGACTCTGTAGGACGTAGAACGTAGATTGTTCAGTATGAACAACAGCAGCCGGTCTCTCTCGGGGACCCGGCTTATATCCTCTGTGGCGTGGCTGGCCCCGCCCTTCGCCACGACCACCTTCTAGAATCTTCGAGCAGGATCTCGACCCTGACACGTGACCACCCCTAGCCCCCACTTGGGGGGGCCCTGTGTAGACTTAACCGGTCACGTGTCCTTGGCGGGTTAATCAGAGTGCCATGGCCCTTAGGAACCCCATTTCCATGGCCGGCACTCTCACACCCTATGTTGTAGGGGTCGGCACTGCACGCAGAGCTTGGTCCCATCCAGCACTGGTAGTCAGCGCTCACCGAGCCCCACTAGGGCGGGTACTGCACCCACATATACAGTGAGGGAAAAAAGTATTTGATCCCCTGCTGATTTTGTACGTTTGCCCACTGACAAATAAATTATCAGTCTATAATTTTAATGGCAGGTTTATTTGAACAGTGAGAGAGACGGAAAAACAACAAAAATCCATAAAAACGCATGTCAAAAATGTTATTAATTGATTTGCATTTTAATGAGGGAAATAAGTATTTGATCCCTCTGCAAAACATGACTTAGTACTTGGTGGCAAAACCCTTCTTGGCAATCACAGAGGTCAGACGTTTCTTGCAGTTGGCCACCCGGTTTGCACACATTTCAGGAGGGATTTTGTCCCACTCCTCTTTGCAGATCTTCTCCAAGTCATTAAGGTTTCGAGGCTGACGTTTGGCAACTCGAACCTTCAGCTCCCTCCAGATTTTCTATCGGATTAAGGTCTGGAGACTGACTAGGCCACTCCAGGACCTTAATGTGCTTCTTCTTGAGTCACTCCTTTGTTGGCTTGGCCGTGTGTTTTGGGCCACTGTCATGCTGGAATACCCATCCACGACCCATTTTCAATGCCCTGGCTGAGGGAAGGAGGTTCTCACCCTAGATTTGCCGGTACATGACGCCGTCCATCGTCCCTT